GCCTGTGAGTGATAAGGATACACTATAAAAATGTTAAAAGATTGATGGAGTATGTTTTACAGACTAAAATACTATTTTAGTCTCTACTTTGAAATGTCATGTTTAATTTGATGTGTTACTTGCCGTTTGTTTGTAATTATTTGTTTAATTTACTAGCCGTTTTTGAGTAAAAAAATTTTTTAATGTAAATTCTACACCAGTGTAGTAGATACTATATGCATAGCACATTAAATAAACCCATATGATACCTTATAAACTCACACTAGTTCATCAAATTGTACTGGTTATATCAGACAGAAATTGTGAACTGTGAGGTTATATTGGTCACAATTTGTTTTACAGGCTGTGCCCCATCCAGAATTCTTGCTGAGAGGAAGAAAAGAAAGAAAAAACTGTAAATCCTTTTTATTCGTTTGTCACTTTCACTTTTTGTTTATCTGACTGTGGAGTTTTTGTGACTCAAATGGTCCTCTGCAGATGTCCAGAACAGGTTTATAGTTCTCTATTTCTCTCAAACAAAATTCAGTGTGTTATTTGATTTGAATTTAAGAAACCTTTCCGTTGAATTCACACTCGCACCACTTTTGTTTTGGACTTTGGGCCACTGCGAATCCCTGTCTATAGAATATTGCAGGATATCTGAACATCTCCCAGTATTTTGTCCTGTTTGCTTCTGTTTGGTTCCTATCCCTTCTTTAACCAAGCAAATGTTTGTGCATGCAGAGCGCAGTCTGTGCTGCAGCATCCTCTGACCTCCAGACGCTGGACGTTTTTTTTTTAATGTACATTCTCGCCAACCAATTTCATACCTCATTTACGGCTTCTTCCTCCACTGTGATACACACCTAAAATTGCTCTCTCACAACACACACACAGACTCACACACACAGGACAAGAGAGCTCGAGGACTACTGAATCAAATTTAGAAACACTCTAAAACCACACAGTATTTTTAGATCCGGGTAACCTTTGCTTGCCATGCATTCAGATCGTTGCAAATGGCTTTTGTCGACTGAGAGCATGAACTTTTAAAGGGTTATTATTATTATGGAAGCGCAAGATTGCACCAATTTAAGGATACTTTTATGACATTATGTCATCTCACTCTAAATAGCCACAGATTGCATTGCAAAATAATGTTCTTAGTTGATATTTTTATTGTATTGTATTCTGGGAAAAATATATGAAAGAGCGCCTATTATGCAAAATTCACTTTTACATTTGAACATAAATGTGTGTTGGCAGGGTGTGTACACAACTACCCTGTGATGATAAAAATACACCCGCTCCTTTTTTTAATCCTCATAAATAATATGCAGTGTCTCAGCCAATCACAGAATCCATAAAATGAGATGTCAAATTTTACAAGCCCCGCCCACGACTGTTGACGGACACTGATGTATTAGCAGCGACCCCGCCCTGAGTGAGCCGCACACAATCCGCCATGTTTATCTTCACGCTAGAGCATTTAAAAGCAGCATTCAAGTAAGAAATATCTTCTTGTTACAGCTACAAAAATTATTCATTATACATTTATTATTCATTAACTTGTTTGTTTTTACCATGTTTGTTTTTAACATAAACTTGTGTGTATTTGACAGTTTAAGCACAATGAGACATGAAACAGATTAGTACTCAGTAAGTTTAGTACTCATGTACCGTGTGGTAGCCGCTTTCTGTGCATGTGTTTCGGATGTGTGCGCTCAGAAAACTATATCAGACGTTTAAACTAATATGGCTTTAAAACGCATGATTTCAGTGCATTAGACATGATAATCTAAACCAAACAGATGTTTTTTAGCAGAGTATCTGAGGTACAAGCTGTAAAGGCACAGCTCTATTCTAGAAAAGGCTGCGAGGAGTAGCAGCTCATTTGCATTTAAAGAGACATGTTTATGTTTCAACTCATAATAGGCATTTTCAAAATGATATAATAGATGATCTTTGGGGTATTTTGAGCTGAAACTTCACAGACACATTCTGGGGACACCTGAGACTTATTACATCTTGTAGGGGCATAATAAGTGCCCATTAAAAAAACATCTAAACAAAGTATATATATTGCTGTTACTAGCGATGTAGTTGGTGGTGGTTATATTTTCAAATTTGCTTCAAATTTAGAGACAATCAGTAGATGTACTTCTGTAGTTTTTGGTCCTCAGGGAGCGAAACTTTTTAAGCCTAAAAAAGCTCAGGGAGTGAGGTTACCAGGAAGAGAGGCTTCACTTGCTCTAAATTGTATTGATTGCATGGAGGAGTCCCTCCTGTATTTAACTGTAGTGATACTGTAGTGAGCTCGGAGGCAATCTGTGTTATTTCATGATAAAATATCTGACAGATCCTTTTATTTGTATCAAGCAGGGATGCCGAAGGTGAAATCATGAGTCCAGATCTCCATAAAGTATATAAATCTGTAACACAGATGAGGCCTGTCTTTAATGAGGAAGGATGTGTTTGATGTAAATGTACATTTCCATGTCTTATTAATGATAAGGATCTGAACATGCGTTATTAATCATTACTTTGTAAATACACGACCTCTGAGCAATGATGTCTTCTCTGAAACCAAGATAACCCCAACAAACATCAAGATAGTTATTAATATCAATCAGTCTCAAAATATCTTCAAAGGACTTCATAAAAATCTCTCTGAGTTCTTAGCCGCCATAACACAAGGTAATTTATATGCCTACTCCCTTTTTATTTACATAAATATTATATTTCCACTCATTTAGAGTAAACAGTTTCGACATTTAGATCATTAGCACTTTATTCATAAGTAACAAAAAATTTCCCGTTCGGAATGAAATTAATATTTTAGTCTCCACAAGGGGTCTGATAAACCATCTGTTCTCAAAGTTATACCAACACCCACTGGGTTTTATTAGTTTCTTTCGCTCCCTCTCTCTCTCCAATCACCAGAGCTGCAGTCAAGGCTGGAGACGCCATTAGGGCAACATATCAATGCCGACCTTCATACACTTTTAGAGGTCCAAAACTTCCCCACAGTCTCCAGCTGATAGTTCCCCAATCCCCTGAACGCTTCATTCAGCTGCCTTCAACACAACACTTACAGATGTCGCACAGCTGGATACATGCCCTTGTTTCCCATTTCCCACTTTTTCTTTATCTTGAATGTGCTTATCAGTCATTTGCACTGTACACTATTACAGTATATACAGCATACACACTACTTGAGGGATCAGTAATGCTAAGGTTTCAGTAGGGTTTTAGATAATACATTTAAACATCTTTCAGTTTTAGCAAGGGTACAGCTAATGATTCATAGCCATTCTTTTGTCAGGACCTCGTTCTGCGAAAGGTCAGGATTACATGGGATTATCCACAGCAAAAGTGCTGTGCCCATGCAAACTCAGGATGAATTTGCACATTTTTGAGCTAGAGGTTTTGAGTGCAATTATGTATTTTTTATTTATACACACACACCGAGGTTGACAGATCAGCATATTAGAAAGATTTCTGAATGAGAACACCATAAAACAGTAATACTGTGAAATATTATGTTTAAAAAAACTGCTATTTTAATATATTTTAAAACTAATTGGATTCATTTATTTTAATATTAAAAAGAGTTTTTGCTGCTTAATATTGTTGTGGAAATCGTGATATGCATGCATACAATAATAATTTCATTCAACAAGGATGCATTAAATTGAATAAAAAAGCAAAAATAAAGGCAGTAAAGACATTTATAATGGTACAAAACAATTATATTTCAAATAAATACTGTTCTTTTGAACTTTCTGTTCAAAAGTTCAAAGTTCTGTCCTATAAAAAATGTATCATGGTTTCTAAGCTGTGAAAACATGTTTCAGCATTGATAATAATAAGAACCATTAATAATTTAGCATTAATAATAATTGATAATCACTGAGCCAAAATCCATAAATTAGAATGATTTCTGAAGGATCATGTGACACTGAAGACTGGAGTAATGACTGCTGAAAATTCAGTTTTGCATCACAGGTATAAATAATTATATATTTTTTAAATATTAAAGTAGAAAACTGTTATTTTAAATTGTAAATATATATTTTTAAATAATATAATATTATAATAATATAGTTTTACTGTTTTACTATATTTTTAATCGAATAAATGCAGCCTTGTTGGGCATAAGAGACTTCTTTCAAAAACAATGAAAAAAAAAATGCAATTTGTGTGTGTGTATGTGTGCATGTTTATGTGGTTTATGAGGACACGAATTTGTATAATGACATGGGTATGACATAGGTATTACAACATGAAGGTGATTTATGGGGACACTTTCGGTGTCCCCGTAATTCAAAAGGCTTATAAATCATACAGAATTATTATTATTTTTTTATTTTTTTTTGAAAATCTAGAAATGCACAAAGTTTCGTGTAAGGGGTAGGTTTTGGCATAGGGCGATAGAAAATACGGTTTGTACAGTATAAAAACCATTATAGAGAGTCCCCGTAAACCAGAAAAACCAACGTGTGTGTGTGTGTGTGTGTGTGACCTACATTATAAAGGGCCAGTGAATACAATGTAGCGTGTATTCAGGTTTCAAGCTAGCTGCCCTATATTATGAGGACATCCAGCTGTCCCATAATTCAAACTGCTAAATAAACAGTTTTTTATTATTAAAAATATATAAATGTTTAGGGTGGAGTTATGGTTAGAGGATAGAAAATATAATTCGCTCAGTATAAAAAAAAACGCTTATGGAAAGTCCTCATAATGATATGTGTACCAACATCTGTGTGTGTGTGTGTGTATACCGAAAGCGCCACAATCGGCACACTGACTTGGAAACAGATCTAAAGAGTTCATTGTTGTGCTAGAGTTGTCCTATTCATCTGTCAAGGAGTGTACAGTATGTGGGACAGTGCAGCTCATGGTCTCTTGTTTCCTATGCACACCCACTCTCAATTCCCCTCTCGCTCTCTTTATATCATTCTCACAAACACCCTTGCGTTCAATCTCACTTATCTTTTCCTGCTTTCCTCTCGTAGGCATACATTCTGGCACAAGTAAAGGCCAGCCACACTGCTCAGATCCCAGCCGCCCATGCAACCCCTGTCTGGACGCCACCAAAGCCTGCAACCTGAATGAAAACTGCAAGCGCCAGCGCTCCAATTACATCTCCACCTGCACCCGTGCGCAGACCCAGGGCCAGCAACCCTCACAGCCTCAGTCGCAGGACAGCTGCAACAGAAAGCGCTGCCACAAGGCCTTGCGTCAGTTCTTTGAGCGTGTTGACTCGCAATACAGCTACGGGCTGCTCTTCTGCTCCTGTAAGGACCAGGCCTGTGCTGAAAGAAGGAGACAGACCATTGTACCCTCCTGCTCCTATCAGGACAAGACCAAACCCAACTGTCTTCAGCTGCACAGCACTTGCCGTCTTGACGTGCACTGCAGGTAGGAGAGTCAGTGCGTTTCATGGTAGTCCTGAATTAAATTGACATTTATTCATTTACCAGATGCTTTTTATCTAAAACCACTTACCATAGCTACAAAACAAGTGATTCATCTTAAGAAGGCCATAACATAGTAAGTTACAGTTACCATAAATCTGTAACTCTTGAATCTTTATTTATAACCATGGCTTTCCCACAAAGTCGCCATGGAACAGCAACCACAAACTTATAAATTACAGAGAAAATTCCCTTGGATCTGGGGTTATATGTATAGTTCATCCAAAAATGAATTTTCTGTCATCATTGACTTATCTTATCTTATTCCAAATCCGAATGACTTTCTTTCTTCTGTAGAACACAAAAAGAGAAATGTTTAATAATGCACTAGTCGCTCTTTTACATGCAATTACAATGAATGAGGACAGATGCTTGTAAGCTTAAAAAAAGACATAAAAGCAACACAGAAACATAAAAGTTTACATTTTAAATGTATTTTAAAAGTACACTGAAAATTATTTACAATTTTCTCTCAGTAATTGCTAGTAAATTTCATAAACAATTAAAATGCTAAGCAACACATTTTGAAGCAGAAAACCTGAAATAGTATTTTTTTTTACCTCAGTAATCTTTGTTGTATTTATGCTGAAAATATGTTACAGTCTAGCACAACTTGTATGCCATATTTGACATTATGTATTATAAGTATTATATAAGTATCTTTTATAAGTGTTACCAGAAGTCATTATTCACTGAAAATCTTATAAAAATAAATGATTTCATATGGCTTCATAAGATGGCTTACAATTTGCACTCTTTTTTTATATTTGGTGCTTTTGTTTTGAAGCTTGAAAGTTCTCATTCTTGCAAGCTTCAAAGGGACACAAAAGCACAATAAAATTATTATAAAATATCAACCTCTGTTCTTCACATGAAACAGCTGTATTGAATTTAGAAGATTTGGAGTAAAAACACTTTAGAGACATCCTCAGTCCTTATTCACTTTCATGATATTAAAAAGATTGTCCAGTATATTGTGCAAAAAACTGCCCTCTTAGGTTTTAAGGAAGAAAGAAAGCCATATGGGTGTGGAAGGTCTTTTTGGATGAAATGTTTCTTTAAGTGCTTCGCTCAGGGGCTTTAGTAGTAATGTGCATTGTGCTCAAGGGTCCGGTGGTGTTGGCTCATGGCTCACTCTTTGCTGAACCAGCAACCTTCCAGTTAACTGCTCTGGACCTTAACCATTACAACACCCCAGAAAACAGACACTACATTTGAATACCTGTTAAATTTAATGTAAAGTTTATATTTGATGTTTGCTTAAGCATACCTTGCACTCATTTTCCATTTAGTTTTAAGGTTATACATGATGCATTTAATGTTGCTTTGAAATTAAAGCCTGCTCTTTGCATCCACCATATTCTATTAGTGCCTTGAGCCTTTGCCAGGAAAGTAATTGCAGACATTTTAAGAACCTTCTATTAGAAACAGAAGAGACTTTCTGCTTAATTGACAAGACAGTGTTCAATTAGGCTGAACCGAACATTAGTACATCACTTTTACTGTGTTTCCCTGTGATTTAACAGCCAACCATTTTATTAACACAAGCTTATCCACTACCACTTACCACTGGACCATTGCTGGATTACTCTGTCAATACCTATCAAGAAATCTGTCCACACACAAATTATTATAGTCGTGTGTATTTTCTCATTTCAATATTTCAATTTAATATTTATTTTAGTTTTAGTATTAGGACGGCCATTGTTTGAAAATCATTACATTGGTTGTAAAGGTTTGACAATTCAGTTATATAATTCCCCGAATAATCTTTTATATTTTACGAGCTATAAAATCAGAATTTATTTTCTGATTATACTATTCTAATTTCACATTGCAATTCTGAATTTATATATTGTGCAATTCTGCCTTTTTTTCCCAGAATTTTTCTCAAAAATGTTATCTCATATTTGCTGTGCCATTTTTATGAAATTGAGAGTTTAAATCTCATAATTACAAGGAAATTCTAAGGTATAAACTCAGAATTGCAAGAAAAAAGTCCAAAATGTGATACTTTTTTTAAAATCCTGTGGCAGACACAGGCTTCCATAGGTTTCTAATATATCATGTATCAAAAATAATTTTTTTTTTACCATTTTTATGCATTTTAGTTAGTTTTGGAGTCATAAAAATGTATTTTATTTTAAATACTTTTTGTTCAACATTTGGTGCTGAAACACCAAAGGAAAAGAAGCCTGATCATTCACAAACCTGAAAGGGTCATGCATATTATATGCAAATTACAGGATAAATCCTGTGGCAGACACAGGCTTCCATAGGTTTCTAATATATCATGTATCAAAAATAAAAAAATTTTACCATTTTTATGCATTTTAGTTAGTTTTGGAGTCATAAAAATGTATTTTATTTTAAATACTTTTTGTTCAACATTTGGTGCTGAAACACCAAAGGAAAAGAAGCCTGATCATTCACAAACCTGAAAGGGTCATGCATTTTATATGCAAATTACAGGAGCGGCATCGAACACGGATTTGCTTTTAGTCTACAGATACTGTGAAGCATCCCAACGCTTAATCCGTGGCTATGCTGGGAGATGTGGGTAGACGAGCAGTTATCTGTAATTTTCGGCTATGTAGCAGAAATAGCCACATAGTGTGAACAGCTGATATGTCAGAATATTGCATTTGAAAGAAAACTATTCATTCGATTTGATACACATTAATGTCTTTCAAATTCTGAGACAATTTGGTCTTGTTAACATGGCCTTTGGTAGTAATGTGCATTTAGCAGTGACTGATAGGTTCATTGAACACATATGCATAACCAAATAATCGCTGGAGCATTAATGGAGACCAATTATACAAATACTCCCTCGAACGATTTAAAATAAATAATCGCGCAAAGACACACATGCACACATTTCTTATAGGACAGAACACACCGTTCCTGTTGTTTCTTTAAATAAGTGGATGCGTAGTTCAAGTGCTCGATCTGGGAATCATCTGTACTGCATGTTTCCCTGCTGATTTTTGACTTTGAAGCGGTATGAAAGCAGTTTGAAGGAGAGATCAGAGATATAAGTTAACTGGAGATATGAAGCAGCATTAATGAGAAATTTTAAAGGGGTGGTTCATTGCGGTCTCACCTTTTTAACGTTAGTTAGTGTCTAATGTTGTTGTTTGAGCATAAACAATATCTGCAAAGTTACAAAGCTGAAAGTTCAATGCAAACGGAGATATCGTCTTTTAAAATTCTGGCAGTTTAATGCCTACAAAAATGGCTGGTAGGGACTACAACATGTTACTTCCCAGGTTCGTGACATCACAAACCCAGATAAACCCCGCCCTCGGGAACATGCCGCCGAGGTGAGGGGCGGGACGTTAGATGCGCGCTAGAGGCGGTTTAGCCAATCACAACACACTGGGCTAGCTAACCAATCAGAGCCCATCACATATTTATGCGTTTTTAAAAAAAACGAAGTGTTAACACATGTTAGACTGCACCCCATAAACACAATCAAGCCTAGAAAAAACCCAGTGAACCACCCATTTAAGAGGACTGATTGGTTCTTGTGTGGTATAAATGTGCTATGTTTAGCATTAGGCTCTTTGGTAATGAAGCTGTGCTGCACCCGATGTATGCAAGCAGTCATATAGTCTCCATGTTTGTGTGACTGCAAAGGATGGACATAAATCTCTTCTTTGCTCTGTGTGGAGGCACCTCTGTGGAGGTGTTGACGTGGGTGTGTTTATGTGAAATAGAAAGATAATGTAGGCGAAAAGGCATCTCTTCCCTCTGATGACTGCTTCATGTTTAGGATCAAGGGTTTACTTTTTCACACTGCCATGCAAAACATTAGTGCTACCAACTATATGTATAAATATTAATTACAGTGTAAAAATTTTAAAAATTGTGGTGAATTATGTGATAAGAATGTAAATGGGTGGATTTTGTTGGAAGTTATCATTGTGGTAATTAGTGTTCATTTGACTGGGAACCGTAAAAACATATATACTACTGTTCAATTGTTTGGAGCCTTTTTTACAATGTGACAGTATATATGTGCGACTTTCATAACATTACAAAATATTTATATTTTAAATAAATTCTGTCCTTTTGAATGTTCTATTCATCAAAATATCCAGAAATGAAATGTAGCATGGTCTTCACAAAACAAAACAAAAAGTAGCCAATCATGTGACACTGGAGACTGGAATAAATGCTCCTGAAAATTCAGATTTGCCATCACAGGGATGAATTACATTTTAAAATATATTAGAATAGAAAACATTTCTTTTAAATGTAATAATATTTCATTTATCCAAAGCATCTTATTGCATAAAAATATGCAAAGTTCTGTCATGAAATGCTAGATACCACAGGCCGATAGATCTAAATTTGATATAATCACATCATTATTTACATGGAGCAGTTGATTCATTTCTTTTCACATCAGCAGCCAATGAGCTCACTGCTCAATATTCAAATAGTCGGCTAGTGCTTGCTGTAGCAGTTGCAGCGCACTTCAGAAACCTCCACCTCCCAGCTCCACCTGTATAGATATGCTCAGAGGTAATGTCATGTATGTTAAATATAGGGTTATTTCGTATGCTACATGTGCAGCAGCAGAATTTCCTACATGCTCACAGCAGCATGTCTTTGGATGTATTGGCAGTAGCAAGCCTTGGTTCTTGCTCTGCCGCTGCAGCACTGCAGATATATTCCACCAAGACCCACATTAACATTGCCATGTATATTACTATGCTAAACTCTCTTAGAGTTGTCATGATAGAAATATGTTTTATAACTTCATGCATTCCCTGGAAATCAAATGAACAACTTACTGTTTGGGACAGAAATGCTCACACATTTCCTGGTCTGTAAAACTATACTGTGAAAATACAGCAACTAGCAGCCAGGACTATTCTGGAAATTCACATTAATATTTTACAGTGTAGCCTATCCATTTGTGTGTGTCTGTGT